GCATAAGAAATTAAAAAAAAAAAGTGTTGACGTTTTCATGTTGTTTTTTTTGTTACCTGTGTTAGGTTTTTATGGTCTCGACTTACCTAAAGTTCTACCGACTAAATTAGAGCGCTGTTATTGCACGCCTCATAGCTTTTTAGGGGTGAAGCTACTTAGGGTCTAGCTTTGTTCGTCCGGCGTCCGTGCTCACATCGATATTGCTGGTGCTCATGATCGTGATCGTGAGTTCACGTGCTCACGAGCGCATGAGCACGTGCTCACGTGCTCATGTAGGGCAAAAAAAAAATTGAAAAAAAAATGTTTGCGCAGTCGACAGGATGCGAACCTCTGCGGGGAGACCCCCATGGATATCTAGTCCATCGCCTTAACCACTCGGCCACGACTGCGGGACAAGTAGGGGGGGGGCCTCTGAGATAACGTCGCACGTTGCCGCTCAACGTCTATATATGAGAGGGCGCTGCGGTCAAATGTGTATATAATCGCGTTAAACGTTGCATGCATTGGCTCAACGTTTATAGACGAGAGGGCCCTGCGGTCAAATGCTCAAATGCGTATATAACCACGTTCCATACCACACATTATAGTTCTGATATGGATGAAAACGAACGATAGGTTCGGCATGTTGCGGCTCAGCGTTTACGCTGACAAGCACCACCAGAGCTTCGCCCCCAATCAACATCATTCACGACGTCGAGATGCGGTCATTTTTTTTGTTGTTTTTTGTTTTCCGCTCACGTTTTACTATAGAGAAGCTATAGAGGCAGACCTGAAGATCCATATCTTGTGTAAGCACATACCTATCGTTTACACAAGTCGCCTTTTTTTTAACGAATTGTGCTACGACAGGAACCAAGGGGAGGATGCGAGGGAAAGAGGGTGCAGGGCAACAAGTTAAACACGTTTTTTGCTGTATTAACAGGTACGGGCTTTCATGTCACGTAGGTGCTGACGCCTGACAGAGGAATTTCTGACATTGGCAAACGGAGATGTGAAATCTGTCTAGTGAAACTGGACATCTCCGAGACTTGCCCAATAGGTACCATTGCGTGTATTAGAGCAGAGCAGCGTCTAAGGGTGTCCTAGTCTCATTTCGACTTTCCTCAAGATGAACGACGCACTCTTGAAGTCTCAGTTTTTTATCTACGGATGTCTCGTAGCGACTTTTGTTTGGATTTTGTGGACCTACTCCAAGAGAGACTCTTCTAAGACGCAGAAAAAGGTAAGCCCAGACGTCAGCATCAGCTAATGCTCATCATTACGGGGGCCGTAGCGCACCATAAAGGACTAATTATGCTCTTAATAACTAATCATTGGCTTAGTGGGAAGGTCACATGAGTGATCACCAGAAATCCTAGGTACTACGTATCACAACTAGCGTTGTCGCATTTATTAAGGGAAACTTGATTCCCCCAAAAATACAATAAAATTTATATTATAAATTTTATTGCTGAATATGCCTTTCCCTCCGTCGAACAAAGTATTTGTTCTGACACAATTCAGAAACATTTTATTTTATGATAACTATATTAGTTTATGTTACCAATGCTTTTGAAAACTTCCCAGTTCGCTCGGAAGATGCGTCAACCCGGTTAATTGGTAATTCGTGTGTTAAGTGCTTAGGATTCGTCACATTTCCCGGAAAGTTTTTGTTCTTGTGTAGTTTGTTTCTTGAGTGCACTGTTTGAACTGCTGACATGCACCGAGATTTTTGTTAATTGAATTGGCCGCTGACTTGGGGTTTCCACGGCGCGTCTCGTGATTCTGTGACCGTAAATTCTCTCCGGAATTTCGCCGGTCCTAATCACAGCTAGACACGAAGGATTGATACTCGTGAGTCTTAACTGCGGAAAGAGAGCCACGCAATTTTATGTTTCTTCTTTGATGTGCATTATAGTTCACCCTTTGCCCGTTTTGCTTAAATGAGTTTGTTCTTTCAGAATAGGCCAGTGTTGCAACGATACATTCGCGACGAAACGCAGCCCGTTTTTCCAAACGGCTGGATCCCGCTTCTCCTCTCGTCCGAGCTGATAATCAACAAAGTGAAGTCCCTAAATGTTTTGGGTGAGTGAGTTTGCACAAAGAAAAATATAGATTCCGTAAAATTTATTTTGCTATCTTTTGTTTTTGATCAGACCAGAGACCACTGACAAGCTACCTCTTGACAACCATTTTCTCGAGTATAGCAACTTCAGTGCGACTACGATTCCTAGAACGTGTTCTTGAGTGGCGCGTTTACCATGTCTCTCTTTCGTCCCTTCGTTTCTCGGATCTTTTTAAGTTTTCACTGCGGTATGCAGCGAAACGCAGCGATCATGGCGGTGGCACAGGAGCATAGGGATACTGTAGATCTCCCGCCTGCGGCGAGTTGACGAGAACTTTGGCTGTCTAGGGTTGGAGTCGTCCTATAATGCTAGCGGCAACAGCGTTACTCGCCTACTTCGACGATTGTACGATCAGTCATCAGGATTGCGTTCTCCTGTGGCTCCTGTGAGAATTCGTCATGACGTGTCTATGAAGGTGTGTTCCCACGTTGTTTATTTTTCGTGCATGATTTACAAGAACGACACAATGTCGTAGGTCATTCGAGATTTTTAGTCTCCATTAGGGCATTATTAACTTCTAATTTAATATGTGACAGGAAAAAAGGTGCGCGTGACAGCATGAGCTAGACTAGGGGTTTACACGATCTATTCAAAAAATCAGAAATAATACAGGCTGGACTATGCTGCTAGCTAAATGATTCGCTGCTCGATAGCAAAGAACTAAATAGGCGTTTATATGCATGTAAAAAAAAAAACAACAAGAACACTCGAACTCGAGGGAGTTTTCTTGGCGACGTTGCGCCCTTGAATATTCATGTCAGAAGAGCATCAGTGCGTGGTTCATGCAATCTCTGTGAGTACTGCATAAGTATGGAACCTATGAACCTGGTATATCACCGTTCCCCGGTGCCTGGACGCACACTTCCTCGCGTTGAAGATATACCGAATCACTATACTCCGTTTCACCTCCTATTTATGTACCACAGGGAAATCTACAAGTGCAAGTTCCTTGCTCGAGGTCGCACCTGGCAGACATGCAGGAAATTTAGCGCATCTGTAGCAACGGTCAAAACTATTAGCTCAGATTTCCAGCCTTCATGGCGGTATATATCTTAGGTGAAATGGATTATATGAACAATGGGCTAATGGATGGCTGATTACGTCACCGGCACTTTGAGACATGGTGACCTAGGTAAAGGGTCCGATCCTAGGGTCCCGAAATTAAATTAAATGTTTTAAACGAAAACAAAGAGCTTACCACAGAACTAGTTTTGTATATATACTATATTAAAAATAATACATTTCTGGTGGTATAGTTGTCGCATATTTTAATGTTGTGCGTCATGACTCTATTTTGGCTACAGCCTCTTGATCCATGCCGCTTCGGTACGGCCTGCCGCTTTATCAGAAGAAGTATAAAAACAGCGATCCACCGGATTTTCCTTAGCTCGTTGCTGGAGGAGTGCATCAGCGGCCACGAGTAATTATTTTGCGTGGATCGGGCCTCGCGCCACTCCCACTCATTTTCCGCCAGTCACTGTGACCGCTGCGGGCGACAGGCGCGACCGAGCGCGTCGCTGTGATCGGCCTTCCACGATTGGCCAAACGCTCACTCCTAGTCATAACATCCCAGATAGGAACCTCGATACAAATGCAGAAAGATTTAATTAAACAGAGCTTATATTTTGTCTTCCTAAAAATGTTAAATAACACAGCAAAAAAAAAAAAAAAAAACGAGACGAAGAAATTGAACCATCTTTATAAACAACTGAATAAAATGAAGAAAATTATTATTATCCAAATTATCATTATTCATCAAAGTTTGTAAAACATCAAGGACAGTGTCACTAAGTTTGGATATCCATTTTTTAAAGAGGGTGTTTCGTTCCTTACTTTATGTTGTTGTTTTTGTCGCGGTGTCTATATAAGTATTTTTTCGTTTAAATAAAATTTTCAGCTGTGAAATACCTTTGAATGATTGTGCCGTTTTTTTCTTTTATCTTGCAGTGTCTGGGTTTATGTTATGTCCAATTTATGCCAGTTTAATAATTTAGTCCCATGTTCCAGCGGAAAAAAAGAATCTTCCGATGGACAAAACAACAAGCTTTTCGCGTAAAGGTCGTCAAAATAGTGAGCGCAGTAAAAAACGAGCCATCTGCGTTAGGTTCTTATTTAGAACAATATCTGTTCACGTTCCGCCCATTAAGACTTACGGAAAAAGAGCGCAAGTACGCATCTGGTATCCCCGACGCCACCGCTCCCTTCCACACAACAAAATTCGTCTACTATGGTCACCGCACGCAAACGCAGCGTCTGAAGCCAGCTACAGCCGCGCCATCTTTCATATTGTGTCTGCTACCAACGCGGTCCGCCAACGGTCTGCCAGGCGACCGCTTTCCGTTCTCAACGTTGACTTTCACAACGGAGCGTCCGACTTCGGACAGCGTTGCAGCGTTCACGTTGTTAGACGATATTCGGAACATGACGTCTGCCATTGCTGGCTTCAGACGCTGCGTTCACGCGTTCCTCCATAAATAAATGCGAGTCGTTTCCACGGTGCCGTCCAGCAACGCCACTGATCCTTTGTAGTAGGCTGGATCGCGGATCGAGGTTGGACTTTGACTTGGGTTGGGGGCGCCACCAGCGGAAATTGCCTGACACCAGAAAGTGCTTGAACCCTAGGGATAAACATAAAAAAGTGAGATTTATCTCAATTGTATTATGTTGTGTCTTAGTATTTCGGCAAAATACCATACATATTTATTTACGAGACGCTCAGAACAAGCTTCAAAAAGTTTATTTTTAGTAATTCCTCCCATAAACTTGCCTGTATTGCCTGATGTCAAGCAATGGCCGGCGTTGTTGCCACCGTCGGGCTCCCTATTGCAGAACCTAGTTTGTAGACCGGGTCCCTTTAAAGTCATGGAGAACGTTGGACATTTGATGGCAGGAGGCTGCGACGGAGATTGGTCACAAGTGCGCATGCGCTGCGTTTCCGCGCGGCATGGAGGAAAGCAGGTGGTAAGGTGGAGACACCCGCAGACGAACAACGCGTTCGGCTCCTCGACGGAGCTTGCATTGCAAACGCAAACGAAGACCATAGTCACGTGGCCAGTGGCGTAGGCAAGAAGGGGGGGGGGGGGTTGGGTGGTTAAACCCCTTCCCCCCCCCCCCCCCCCAAGATGCTCAAGCTGCACCCCCCCCCCCCCCCCCCCCCCCCCCCCCCCGGGGTGGGCCCGCTCGCTACCCTGCTCACGCAGCCGGTCTTTCACAGGGCACGGAGCATAGGTGGAGCGTGGACTATCTCTAACTTATATGCTTTCGGGAAAAATGTTTCTGGGGTAGAAAATGCTGAAATAAATAAAATAGTCAATTTTTCTTCATTCATGCCTATTTGATGGGATGCTGAACTTGACCTGAGATATACTGGGTGATTCAAGGAGAGGCCAGGCTCTTTAAGTCGACCGCAAAATTCGGTTTCTTAACCTATCGCGCTACGACTTTGTGCAGCGTTGCTACAGATGGTGCATGTTTTTTTGTTTTTTTTTGTAAAATTTGCAACGAGCGAACGTACCTGCGAAAAAAGTAAAGAAAGAAAAAGGCTTAGCTCCTATGGAAACTCAGCGACGCCACCGGTCTTCAAACAACACGGCGCCGTTTCGCACGGAAGACAAGAGATAGTGCAACAAACGCCTCCAACGAACGAGCATACGGCGCCGAGAGCCGGCGTCTTTAGCAGACAATCTTTTCGACTCAAAAGCGGCGCGCGTTCGGCAGGCGTCGACAGTCGCAGAAACAAAAAACAGGCCCGGTAACAACAAGGAACTGCAGTTCCTTGTCTGTTAAAGACGGCGGCTCTCGGCGTCGTATGCTCGTTCGTTGGCAGCAGTTGGCGTCGCGATCGCTTACGCCATCTCTTGTCTCCCGTGCGAAACGGCGCCGTGTTGTTTGAAGGCCGGTGGCTTCGCTGCGTTTCCATAGGAGTTGAGCCTTTTTCTTTCTTTACTTTTTCCTCAGGTAAGTTCGCTCTTTGCAAATATTACAAAAAAATGTACCATCTGTGGGCAACGCTGCACAAAGTCGTAGCGCGATAGGTTAAGAAACAGAATTTTGCGGTCGAGAGCCTGGCCTCTCGTTGAATCACCCTGTATAGAGAACGGATATTCCGAAACATTTGTGGGGTCAAGGATGACAATTTCAAGGCAAAGTATAACAAACTATCCTCACTGAAATACATAGTTAAATCAAACTAAAGTTGATATAATAAAACGCACATGGTGATAATATAAAACAATGCCAGTGATGTAAGGAATAATAAATGAACTGTAAGAACAATTGCACCGTAAGCAATGGCATGGCGCTGCGCTCACGCAAACCTTGTGTAGTGATCAGAATTACGTGCTTTCGGCTAGAAATTACCGCGGATAAAAAAGTAACTAACTAGTTATTTCAAATTTCAAAAAGCAATTTACAGGCTGTCTTGATCATTTCATTTATGCCGGACGCCTACATAATATGATGCTGCCGCCTTCCTTCACGGCAGAGATTATCCAGGATGACCACCGCTTGAACTTTAATGTCGCGGTGACTATACAAAAGCACTAGACCGAGCAGTCGCTCATTGGAAGTGGACACTCTCAGATATGTTTTTAACCGTTGTAGTGAAGAGAACGGGCGCTCAGCTTCTGCCGTTGTTACGCGCAGAGTCGCTAGGATCTTGAGGAGACGATAGACGTTTGGGAATAGAGCCTCCGGACAGAGGGCGACCGCCTGTAGCACAGACCCATGACGGGCGTTTCATGTTTCTCCCTCTTTCATTGGACGCCGAAAATTTCCCTATTTTCGGCGAAGTTTCCCTCACTTCGTGATATTTCTCTCAATCGAGACGCCCGTCTTGATGGTCGCTCATGGATGCGATGGAGTCCGTCTTGCTTTCTGCTTTGCATGTCGAGGTGGCATCCGATGCATCGTTGTTCGATCAATCTTTTCGTTGCACGGGACATCAGAAACTCTTGGAGAGCCTTCATATTTTCACTACGCATAGGCGCAAAGGTATTAAAGTTCGTTTCCACGTTCAGCTTGAGGTTTGCGTGTTTGTTTGTGGTGTGTGATGTCATTTCTCCAAGGGACGGAACGACGAGTTCGGACTGACGACTTTTCATCGCCCAGAGGATATACCGCTGCTGCCTTTGGACCACGCTGTAAGATAAAGCGGCCTATAGCAAAACTAAGACTATCTTTCCTTCGGCATCATGTTCTTTCGCAAGAATTTGTTAAACCTTTAATAGATAATAGATTCTGGTTTTGTGATTGCTCAGAATTACCCTCCCCCTATATATGGGCCCCTAGTGTTTGTGCGAGGACGGTTGCACTAATTTTTCAGCGTCGAGATCTCTTTTTTCTTTCTTTGCTGCTGATTAATTTTTTGTGACAGTATAACCTGCCGGTAACAGCCAGGCGGCGCCGGTAGAGTGAGAGCCGAAGGTCATACATTGCCTCGGTGTAATTTGGCGAAGGGTGAACAATAAGCCCCCTATATGCGTGCCGACGGCTTCGATATCCGCTACGTATACGAGTGCAGCGCACACATATTGGAGCGTGATGCTGCGAAAAGCCTGACACTTCTTGGCAGTAAAAGCACACTCCGGTGATACGTATTCACGTTCCGATTGGCCCGCCAGGCCGCGGCTTCCACTGTACCTACATGTTATGCGATCACGGCTTCCTGACCTACCCATTATTTCTTGCTTCAGACACTAGGCTATAGCGGCGCCATCAGAGTAATAGCTCACGTTTGAAGAATGCAGCTGCCACTGCCAGGTATAACTCATTTTTGTCGCTTCAGTCGCAAGATAGCGCCAAATCAAACAGCATTGCAGGTTGCCTATAGACCAGTGTCCGAAATTCTAGCCCCCAGCTCTTAAATTGTGAAATAATAATCTCAAGCGCAGACTCTTCTGAAGAGAGGGGCTGCGCATAGAACAAGGTTTTTGCTCTTTAAAGTACTGTTGATATTGGTGTCGTTCTTGGAGCTTCGTGACTATGCCTTTCTGACGTTCTTGCACTACGATATGTTCGAAGAGTTCTAAAAAAAAAAAAGGATTCCCTCAAAAAGTGCAGCCCCCCCCCCCCCCCCCCGGTCCCCTCCCCCTTTACCGTGTCCTTGTGTCAGCATAAACAAACTTGGCGGCACCCATGGAACAGAGCAGACACTGGTCTATTCTATAGCTATCCTTGTGTTTTATCTGGCCTTCACGCGTTGGTATTGCAGTGCCCACCTCATAAAGCGGAGAGGGGAGCTTTGTGCTGCGAGCAAGCTTTTAAGGGTACACACCCCCTGGGAGAACAACTTTTGAACCCTTGGCTTAATATGAATGAAATTTACAGGGTAGGGTGGTGGTCATGTTTGAAGATACGTAACAAAATTCCAGGTCTCTCGGTTAAATGGGAAGGAAATTAGAGCAACTTCTATCAGTAACACGCCTACATTGTTCAATTATTCTATCGTCGGAAAACTATCACAATATTCAAGATTTTTTATTCGCTAGATATCTAGCAGAATGTCTAGGGGATGTGGCTATGAAAAGTATTTTGTAAAAACTCATTTATTTCTATAAAGTTTCTCTTCTGCAATGTAGGTCAACTTTTTTGGTCTTCTGTGTCTTTGAAAAAATCTCAACATTTGTTTTTTTATAAAAGACACCCGTAAAGTGACAAAAAATGTTATAGGCGTAATTATTAATAAATTTGAGTCAGGAAAAGGGAAGAACTAGCCTTCCTTGTATTTTTATTATCAAACGATAGATTGTCTAAAATGGTATTTATACGAAAAAGTGGAACGCAGAAAAAGGCGTTCAAAGTGCTCCAAACCCTGCCCCAATGGACAGAAAATAATTTATAAAAAAATTAACAATGCAGTGTAGTCTAATTAAACTTTCTGGGAATACTCCCTGGATGTTGGTGGAGGAAGTACGCCATTTTGCAAAGTCAACTTTTTTTGCAGAATTTTTTTTTTTTCTGGGTAGTGCCCCTCCCCACCCGCTTAAAGTTGGTGGGCCGTAACTACGACCACAGTAGAGCAGTGAGCCACCACGCCCATATTCCTGTAAATGAAGCCTGCTCCTTTTTCAAAAATGACAATGCAGCTTTGCCCGTTTTATCTTAACAACGCCTCACCAATCGTTGCGTGAGCGTCTGTACCGCCGAGCTCATCCTGCTTCGGCATTCGGGGGGGAGGGGGGGGGGGGAGGAAGGGGTTGATGCCATTGGACCCCCCCCCCCCTCCCCCCCGAAATAAAATACTGGCCACGCCACTGCACGTGACCCTGATCGAGCAGTGGAAAGCTTTCTGTAATGTAGGCTCTCTACTCGCAATCCGCGATCCAGCTTTCTACAATAGAGATTGTGGGATTTGTTAGCGAGTAACAGATGTAGCGAAGAGTAACCAATGGTTATCTCAACAGCGGCGGGGGTCTCTAAGGAGATGTGAAACCTAGTAGCCCCAGCCCTTTCCCCCCCCCCCCCCCCCCCTGGATCTCCGCGGCAATATAGACGGCGTTTAGGGCTCTATTACCGCGGGTCAGTTCGATAAATTACCTTCATTGGTGCCAAGGATCGACTAACTTGTCTCACTTTGTCGGATATAGCAAAAGGGAAGACACACGTTCCGTGTTTGAGGGAAGAGTCCAAGCGCATTTATTAAAACACTTTCCAAATGAACTACTACGTCCCCATTCAAAATAACCCCAGCGTCGGCATGGTAAAAAAAAGGCCCTTACCTGCCAGATGCGGGGTCCCCGAGAGCCAGAGGGCGGGAAAGCATCGGAAGAGTCGCCGACGAACGTCCCACCACTTTTGCTGCCACCGGACGAGTCTCTTTCCCGAAAGCGGGGAAAGACGAAGCGAAACCTCCTCGCCTGTCGGTCGTGAGCCGCATCTGAGCGGGGGAACAAAAGGCCTTTTCCCGGGAGAGAGTGAAAGAGGAAAGCCCCCAAGACAGGGGACCCTCTTACTTACACTTCACAAGTTCACAAAATAGGTCGAAGCTCACGGCGGACACCGAGCGTTCCAACCCGTGGCCGTTATGACGGCCGTCCGTGAAGGGAGACCGGTCCACAGGAATCCTCAACGAGATCAATGGATGCATGACGCTGACTACAGCAGACGAACTTCATTGTGGGGAAGGAGACGGCGCGGTGGCGAAATCTGATCACACTTGGGCTCTTTCGTCGTGCTTTTCGATGGTAGGACAGTCAACAAAAAAAGTTCAAAATAAGGACTTAAACGCAGATTGCTGACTTTCTTCAGCGCCTAATATTTTGACAAGCGTTGCGTGAAATGTTTTAGCTTGCAATTAGGACCAAGATTTCGCACTGCAGCTTGGGGCGAAACCAACGATGTTTCAAATTCATCATACTAAAGAAATCACAGTGAGCTTTCTGTCACTTTGTAGAAGGCCGACCACAGCGACGCTTTTGGTCTCAAACGTCGCCAATATACCTTCCATCATAATATACATGCATCATGAAGGCTGCCGGCAACGTAGGCACACGCGCTTCTCGCACTCACCTTCTCTCTATAAAAATTCCACGAAATGCCGAAAATAAGGCATTCATAAACGCCCAAGTAAAATGTAATTTCTCTTTAGTTTTTGTTATAGAACAGATACTACACACATCAGCACGTGCAGCGTGTGGAGCTATGCACTCGACCATGCCCTACGTGCTTGAGTAATTTAGAAACATTTATATTCAGCGCTAATATACTCAACGGTGTATTTTTATCGATGTCATTGTGTCCACCGTTTTGAGGTTTAGAGCTGATTGGCGCGTGCCAGAGGCGAGCGTATTGAAAGATTTACCTGGCACCACCAGATACGCAGTGCACCGAGGCCTATGGGGTTCATCGTGGGATATATAACAACACAATGGTGGATTGACGTCACGTTAAAACTCTCTAAATTACTCACTGCGACTACCTCGAGCACTTCTGTTTCACCCGGCAAACAGAGTAACTCGGCAGGTCGTTTGCAGCGGTTCGGGAATCAGAACAGAGCGGCCGTGCCTGTACCAGCTTCGGAAAGGTCATATAGATTACAAATTGAATATAACTACTTCAATTATATAGTATGACTTTAATGCAGGAGAAGAACTGGTTGCGTTCCGAACTCAAGATGGCGTCGCCCACGTGATGGACGCCTACTGTCCCCACCTGGGGGCAAACCTGGGCGTGATGGGCCGTGTTGTGGGAGACTGCATCGAGTGCCCTTTCCACGGATGGAGGTTCAGAGGAGAAGACGGTGTTTGCACGCACGTGCCTTACGCTAGTAAACGTACGAATTTTATACCTTTTGCGGGCCCAGGTATAAGTCTACAACGACACAATACCTTGAGCTCTCTCTCTTTCGCACCCATTCAAACAGTAGGACTGTAGTTTCATTTCCCCAACTAGTTAGGTGAACATATATTCACCGCAAACACACGCAGACGTTTTAGTCGGGTGCATCTATGTAGGTCCGTCTGTGTCTATCTCGCTTTTTTTCCCTTTTCAGTCTTTCTTTTGTTTCCTCAGCCGGAATAAGCTATGCCCTGGCTCTGGCAGATATATATTTCATTCCGCCGTTCTTAGCTCCTGGAACTAAACTATGCAGAGCCCATGGATTCTTTGTTCAATCCCCATTTCTGCCTGTTGAGCTCTGGATGAGCATCGTACCGGCTTCCGGTCATGTATCACTAGAGCGTGGTGTGTGTTAAACTCCCCAAGCTAGCGGTTGTACTGTACTCGCTAATCCTTATTGCGAAAACATTAACTGTCTTGTTGAGCGAAGCCGGTGAAGCCGGCGAAAACAGCAACTAAATTCCCATTGGATGGGCGTTCTCTGCAGCAGCGAAACGGCACCTGAATTGCCACTGCGCTGCGAAAATTGTCTCAGTTAGGTTCCTGTAAACAAAGTAAATTAATAGCTTTGGAAATAAAATTTTGTCCATTTCGGTCTGAGTGGGAATCGAAGCCGGCACCCCGGGGTGCGAGAAGAGCAAGCTTTCCTGACGCCACGGCGGCTCCACGGTTCCGGCTGACGAAAGATTTCCCGAATGCGTGCATCATGCTTTCGCATTCCCACACGTAAGCAGTCTTAAGTGCCTGTGCCAAATTTTTTCATCTACAGCTGTGATACCAAACGCCCATTGAGGCTGACTACAATGATTTGCGACCTTTCTTGAGAATCACAATAAACGTTATCATATCATTGATCCGCTCAACACGAGCAGCGCTCTATTAGGCGCGCCAGGGAATTCCCGCTATTTTATCATCATTCTTTCCCATCAGAGTATTATTTTTTTTAATGAAGAAATAAATATTTACGATTCAGTAGAGTGTGCAAACACATCTGCTATATGCACATCTTACACGTTCATATTCCTGGCGACTAAACGTGCTCACGTGTTTTTTGTTTTCTTTTAACTTTGTGAAGCTTCATTTGTTTTCGAGGGGTCATGCCTACTCAGCCAAGCGCAAAGCCTCGTAATGGTGTTCTTATCCGATTTGTGTGGTCAGACACGGTGGTGAAATACATATTATTTTGTATTTTCTACAAAATGAGTGAAGGTGAACCATTAAAAAAGAGAGCATTCTAAATTTGAGTGCTGCTTCCACGACTGCAGACACTGCGGGAAATTTGTTTACTGGAGCGGGTGCGACAAAAAGTTGGTCAGCTCTCTTCACCAGGTGAGAGAATCTTCATCATGAGTACGTGTTAGGCGAGTATCTTCTATGGAGCCGCGTTTATAAATAAGGCAGTAGTTGATATTCATGTTTCATATTAGTCATTACCTTGGCACTAATTCTCACGATAATAAATATGGGGCATAAATATATCTTTGGAAATACACAACATACACCTTGTTCACTACTAAACCAAACGTCATAGCCATCTTTACCACAAAAATAGGGCAATGAAGTTCTACTGTCACACGGTTATCTTTATGCTCGCCCAAAATGTAAGCGTTGTCTTACACTTACGCTTACTCTAGTTCAAAAGTGCGCCATACCTACAATGCCATGTGTCCAATGGTACACCCACGTTAGCACTTCTGTGATAGACTTCACATTACTACAAACAAATGACCTTTACATGCACAAACTTTTAACGCTTTTAAATTGGCAATAGAAACTAAAATCATAAATGTACTCGATTTGCACAAAAACTCAAATTAAACTTTTCACCGTACAACACAAGGCACACGGAAAGTTAGAACATTCAATTTTATAGACTATTTCATTTTCCAGTCTTACTAAACTAACTAACAGGACATGCCATAACACCAGAATTATTTTTCAATAAATTCGTTCTTAATCGGCAACTGAGTCTCCCGCACTTACCTTTTTAGGTATATTTAGCGTCTATTTTATGTTCACGTTTCAGTGTTTTTATTATGACTTTCGAACTCTCAATATTAGTAGATGTTGATCTTTATGTAATCTATATTTGTGATTTGATTTATGTGCTAAATGTTTGCGTTACCCCATCCTGCGAACTCTACGGGGGCAGGGACATTGTCAAGACGCCACGGTGACTTTCTTCCCTGCCCCCTACTCCACAGGAGATAATACGAGTTTAATTCAATTTAGTTTCAATATATCCTCCCAAGCCGTCTACCTCGCTTGAATACTGAGTTAATCTTTTAGTAACCTTTAAAGTTACCTTCTAATATTCTGTCAAATTCTTGATTTTCCAACAGATCCCGAATTCGTGAAAGCTAAGACGTGGATCTCCAAGGAAGCCTACGGCTTACTTCTGGCATGGTACCACGCAGATGGCAAAGAGCCAACGTGGGACGTGACTGAGCACCAGGAGATTACAAGTGGACAGTGGAGGCGAACTGGCTTGTGGGAGAAACAAATCTTTGGTTACATGCAGGACATTACTGAAAACGGAGCAGACATCCACCACTTCAGACAAATCCACAAGGCTTCACCGTTTGTAGGACCTCAGGAGTACGAGCGCGTTGCGGGCAACTCGTGGGCGTGTCGCGTAATGACTTTCGACTATGACATCACATGGTCTGAGCACGGCGTCAAAGTTTGCGTTAACACAGATCTGCGAGTGAAACTGTTTGGTTGGAACGTTGTCACATATCACGTTGTGGTTTGGCAACTGGGACCGGCCTTGAACGTCGCGCAAGCCTCCAGTCCGTTCGGTAATCTTTTTTACGTCTTCTCGTTCACGCCCCACGGTCCCCGTGATATCCGAGGCATCATCCAGACCTACGCCGATCGCAGCCTGCTGTGGCCAATCCGGAGGTTTATGGAAAGTGGTACTTTCTCCATGGTAAGGACTGTAACAGCTGTCTTGTTGATGCAATCACGATTTAGTCGGAAACGCAAGAAGCAGTGCAAATAACACTTGGTGACACGTTTCGTGGATATCTTTTAAAAATACGGAAGCATTGCCTACTCAAAAGAAATATAGCTTGGGATCAAGTGACATATTTTCGGTGTCTCACTGACTGCCACCACTTTGGCCCCAACTATTAGCGTCCCTATCCTCAAAGATCCACTATTCAACTGATGCATACTTGTACCTCTTACTTGAAAAATGTAATGGATATGAATTACAAAATAGTACCGAGCCTCAAATGTAATGGATTACCGTTACGAATTTTTTTCGCTGAAAAGTAACGAATTACTTTACTCGTTACGTTTGAAATTACTTTCATGTTACTTTTCCCATGCACTTCTCAATAAAACATTAGAAACAATGTTTATGTTCTCAAAAATGTTCAGCAACACTGCTTTCGATTTTTCATACGCCCGTATTGTGGTAGTCGTTGTAAAATTAAAATATTTTATTTGAGAGACAGAATGTAAGAGCACTCCCGTTCACGTGTAAGCTGACAAGGCAGCTTACGCTGCAACCACACTCGCCATCCTTCTAGCTCACTGCGACCGGAAAGGATATCTGGAATTCTGCAGACAAGGTTAGCGGTACGCATGCTCAGTAGTAGCGTCTACCTCCGCTAGAAGATTCGGAGGTAATGAACCGATCTACGAAAGCTCCCCTTTTGAAACGGGCCTTTCAACCGCGAGCGCAACCTCTCAAAGCTGCTTTCTCGCGCCTGTAGCTCGGTCCCACTGTCTTCTTATACATGAACGGAGTATAGTGCATGCAGTAGAGAAAAAGGAATGGGCGCGAGTGCTCGATTTTAAGCTTTGGCCGAGCGGGTGGTCGCACAGTCATATTGCTCCAGTTTTGGTATTATGTGCATATTTATTTTGAAGTAACGTGTAATTAAAGTTTTCCGTTACAAATATTCGTAACGAAATCCCATTTCGAATTACTCACGCAAAAAGTAACATGGTAAACTTTAAAAAGTAGCGGAATGCAAGTGATTCGTTACTCGTAGCGGATTACTTGCCAAATCTAAATTCATACAATGAAATTAATTTTAGATAATGTGGGGACTAAGTTACTCACAGGGCTAAGCCATTGAAGGTCCGATGCCCTGAGAGCAGTGTCAGCGCGCGGCCACGCTGCCAGGAGAGCGGTTGCCGCGTTGAGTTCGTTCGCTGACTACAACGAGTAGAAGTATCGCAATACCAGACGATAATCTAGATCCAGACCTCGTGTATTGAAACTAGGATTCCGCAAAATACTGCGGCCGAGATAGTGTCGGGTCATAAGCCCCGAGCTACTCGTCAACCGGAAAGCCGAAGAAGTCGCATATCGTCTTGAGAGGTCGACCACAGACATAGTTTGTCAATTGGCTCCAACCAAGCACCTCTCTCGACAGCTAGGGCGCGGGAGGACCAGCCCATTGCGTCGACTGGTTTTTCAAGGGAGGAGGAAAGGCCCTCCCCAACTAGGATGTGACAAAGAAGATAGCGAGGGACAAGGGAAACGGGTAATCCCCTCCCAAAAACGCTCGCTTGCGATGACGCGAAGAGGCAAAGATTGCGCATCGCGACCATCATAGAAAAGGATTCCCATATTTGTAGTTGTGTGATTGGCCGCAAGAGCAATATTATAGCGGGGACAGGCATGCTCATGACAAACGGGGAAGGGGGGGGGGGGGGAGAAAAGTATAGGAGAAGGAAGATTCCCCCCCCACCCCCGTAGCAAAAATTATTTAGTAGAAAAGCTTGGAACGTCGAGAAATTTAGTCACTGCAGCTTATTGTCTCGCCTCACTGGATCAACAAGAACAGTTGCTTTTACACTCTCTTATCAGTCATATCTTCGGAAACCCTAAAAATATTCCAGAGTACCTGTCGGTCAGAAACTTATCCATTTATTACAAGTCAGTGGTGCTGAAGTGAAAAAAAAAAATTCGCATACGAATATCATTTGGATCCTACTGAACAGTGTCCGGTTGTTTGACGATCTTGTACAGAAGGCCCTCGAGATACTTTTGTATTGTTTATTTATTTGAGTTACCTGCCGCAATAGTAGCTATATTTATTTAAAAAAGGCTGCAACTTTTTTTTTTTTGACGCGCGGCAGATAGAATTGTTGCAATGCAATGTATTTTTTAGTGCCTACTGTCTTGACCTCAGACCTATATCACCTGATTGAATCAGGACCATAAACTATGCTCGTATTCTCCTAAAAAAACACAGAAAAAAAAGCACCTGCTTTTCGCGAAGCATTACATTACTATTTACTACTTTATGTGGTAAAGTGAATAAACACCTGTGTGGGTAAATTTTAGATAAGCATGCCGTTATTTTACCAAGCGTGCAAGTTTAAAATCGCCAAAGTCATAGTTTCTTCATCCGATAACCTCCTCTTGTATGAACTGCAGAGCTTGAATCATGCGCGAAGCTTTTGTATTTTTTTCTTTGCGTAACGAGTTAGAACGACAAAAATAATCCCTGGAGAAGGGGTACAAGAAGGACAAAGGACAAGCACAAATCTCCATAAACAAGTAAGTGACTGGTGCGCGACCGAAAAACTCCGTCTGGTCCGGGTATCGAACCCGGAACCTCTTCATTTCCAGTGGAGCGCTCTACCAACTGAGCTAACCAGGGGTTTCATATCAATAGGGCAAACAGATTTTATCAGCTGCCACCAGTCAAACACCAACAAGGGTGAAAGGCTTGCATTTTGAAGGTTATGATTAAAATGCAATTAAATGCGAAGGTGCGAGCGAGCTGGACAAGAATGACGAAAATGATCCCTGGAGAAAGAGAACAAGAGGGACACCCTCTTTTTTTTTTCGTTTCTTCAGGGATTATTTTATATTATTATAAATTATTATTATAATATTATTTTATAATATTATATTGTCGCAGGTCGGTCGGGACGTCATCATATGGGATCACAAGACCTTCCTGAAAAATCCTGCTCTGGTGAAGGAGGACGCAACCATTAAATCTTTCCGGAAGTGGTACTCGCAGTTCTACAGCAGCAAGAGTCCGACGTGGCGAGATGTGAGAGAGAAGACCGTAGACTGGTAAAATGAATCGTGAAGCTCGTATGCAATAAAACTGAGAAGGTCGGCCAAAAAATGCGGGAAAGGCCGTATTTTTTCGCCTATCATTCAACCCAATGAACACGGGACCGAGTACGGCAATTTGACGACACAGGATGTACATTATGTTTCTGGTTTTCAGAAAATAGTCCTAAAATACACGTGCAAGGTAGTTTTGTTTTTGCTTTGTTTTGTAAAACTCTGTAAAATAACTGTGAAATTACTTTTGGGGACTGGGAAAACGTCGTAGATATTGTTCCATTGACACCCTACATATCACGCGGATGAACATTGAACTTCAGTTGTGCTGTAAAGTTTCGGCGATAAAAGCAACGTGTGTTTCGATTTTGTATCTCCTTCCGGAAACTTAGTCACGAGGACGCTACGACCCTGCTGTCCAAAGGGGCTGTTAATAGCATCCCCAAAACCTCAAAATGAACCTACTTCATCACGTAAATACAAAGCATCGCTAAAAAAAAAACAAAAAAAAATTGGCGTTAAAGCATTGTTTATCTTGCTTTGTTTGTCACGTGGACCTGCGCAAGATGAACAAATTCTTAAATCCTGCAAACAAAAACGCTTGAGCCCATCTTCGAGACCTCGCTATAAACCAATAGTGCGGATAACGAAATTACACAGGAAAGCTACGTGAGTTCAGTTTCCTGCAGAACAGTGGGACAGACAATGACGGCGAGTTAAACGAAGGTTTTAGAGAATGGCGAAGCTGATTAGATTTGAACAGTGCCACGTAGGCAAGTGAACAATGCCACAATGAGCAAGTGAAACTTAATTTTCGTTTTGCCTGCACGCATCGCATAGCTCCCATCTAATTCTATATTGAGATTCGTCATTTCCTGGGACCCCTCTTCTGGTCGTCGTCATTTGCAGTGACCGTGGTTTGCGAAAAAGTGAAGTCACATTCGTGGTTAGAGCGTAGATTAGATATAAGAATGTGCGTTACGCTGAACGGCCTCTCTCTACTGACAACCCGAACGAGTAGAGACGATAACACATTGTGCACCAATGGGCAACAAAACGCTTTGCCTGTTCGCCTGACTGCTCATATCTATTCAGGTTGTTTTAAACAGTTGGCATAAAAAAGATTTAATGATCTTCCTAGATTGTCCTCTCTAGCGGAACGCATGAGAAGCTACTTTCACAGCTCGAAGTACTGGTAAAAATGGTAGATGACGTGAAGAGCCAGAACACTGATGATGCGAGGAAGAAAAGAATAATGATAAAGCGGTCATTCCGAGAATGACCGCTCGCATGCTGTAACACTAGTTTTAGAGACGTTTTTCAGTTCAGTTCAGTTTAGCAATCCTCAACAGCATGTTAATGAAGTGCGGTACATAAAGGGGAGATGTAGAACATCTCTTTATGTCAAGTCGCCGCAGAGTAGCTGTATTTCTCTAGCTGACGAACCATTTAACACGATCAAATTATAAGGCACTTATTTGTATCGGTCTTATAGTCGCCATTAAGGCTTCACTCAGAGAAATGATAAAATGACCTCTCGAACGACGCTAGCGCGATCTCACATGACGATACGCCATTTCATTTGTTCTCAAACTTGGGGAATGTAGTTTGAAGTCGGGGGTTGTACTTTTCTTTGAAAGTACCAGGAAAAAAATCAGTAAATTACTACATGCTCAGAGAATGTACTATCGGGGAAAAATGAAATGCGAACAGAGGAGCGCGTGGCTCGCGGTACAGGCTGCGCCGCCTGGAAGTGAACCTAGGGGCGAGGGTGCGTGGCCTAGTTCGATGTGTTCACGCCCCTCCATTGTCGCTCCCCCAGCTTCGGCAGTGCGCCTCCCAGTGCGCTGAAAGCTGTCACCGCTATCTTTGCCTGCTCGGCGAGTGCGGCGAGCTTCTTTGCACCGCACGCGCTGAGCCAGCAAAGATAGCGGTGAAAGCTTTCAGCGCACTAAGAGGCGCACTGCTGAAGCTAGGAGAGCGCAGAGGGAGGGGCCTGAACACGTAGGAGTAGGCCGCGCACCCTGGCTCCTAGGCTCACTTCCAGGCGGCGCAGCCTGTACCGCGAGCCACGCGCTCCTCTGTTCGCATTTCATTTTTCCCCGATAGTACTTCAAGTAATACACGAGTTTTCTAAACACTCTTTAAGTAGTACTTTAAGTACCATGTACATAAAGTACTTCCCAAGACTGCTTGTTTATTATTATTTCTTATGTAAAAACGTTGGGGGAATTACTAAGGTTTCTTGAACGATCCTTGAACCTGGAAAGGCCCGCATATTCTGAGAGTTGGGAGGAAAGGCAACGCAAAGAGGTCACCTTTGCGTTTCCCTTTAGCACGCGATTCTTCAAGTAGAGCACAAACTAGAGTTGCACCACATGAGCTTCAGAGCGGGTGCTGCATTTTTTTGCCTCCTTTGAATGAGGATACAGTCTGTACACCTCCTGTAGTGGGCGAGAGTTATTATGTTGGGGAGAAGCGGGGACAAGCCCTTTCGTCAAATGCGCCAACTCTCCTTATTCTTCGGTGGGCCAATAAAGGCCAGTCGTCGGCGCTAATCCAGTAGTTACTCGGCCTCACTTCCGACGTGTCAGTCCGCTCCCCGCGCCTCGTACGTAGCATGGTTGTTGCAGTGGGAGGCTCTTGAAATTTTTAGTCTGTTTCGGACTCCCCAAACTACTACCCCCCTGCCTACGCCGCACGCTTTGTCCTTATCTTCTCGCGCTGTTTAACCAATGTGCTTACCAACCAATCAGCCCAAACATACCTTTCAGTATGCTTCCCCACTTTGGAAATATCAGCTGATCTTCCAACATCGTATCAATTTTTGTGTAGGAATGTATCTTGATAAGGAGACCTACCAATTAATTTGAAAGTAATTTGTAATTTGAGTAGAAGTTACTCGAAAAAAGTAATTAAAATAGATTTCTAATTACCGAAATAAAAATCTAATTCAAAGTTACTAAACTACTCAGAAAAGTAGTTAAACTACAGTAACTTGAGTAGAGTAGCTAAACTACGTACAAGTTTGTGTCCAGGCACGCCTTTCCCCTCTCCCTCGTACACCGCCCCTCGCGTCACGCAAACCGATGGGCCGAGCGTCCTTGGCAGACTCGGAAGTAATCCGTTACAAGTAACAGAATCACTTGTAATTAATTACTTTTCTAGTAATTTTGTAATTAATTCGTTACTTTTTTGAAAATGTAATTTGTAATATGATGTCATTACCTTTTCAGTAACGCGATACTCAAATTACTCGTTACAATTCTTCCGCCCCGTCAAAGGGAAAAATACAGAGGAAGAAGGGCGATGCAACGTCCTTCGCGCTTTTAGCATAGTAACACAAGACGGGGGTTCGCTCGCGAAGAGATATAGTGCTGGGGAAGGAAAGGAATTCACGGAAACCGCGACAGTCCAGCTACAGCCCGTTTCTGGACTTAGTCGTACGGTCAGTCAGGATGGGATGATTCGACTGTCTACATGAAGGCAACAAGCTTCGACATGAAAAACGAACAGACTGCTTCGAGTGCACGAAAGAGCAGAAACCTAATGACCCATAAAACCATCGAGTAGGAGTCATGAAGAGTACGAACATGGACACCGTGACCGTGGTGCAGATGTCCACTCGCACCCTTTCCCCCCCCCCCCCTTCCTTTCCGCTCCATCCCTTGCGTGTTGTTCCCCAAAAACCAATCAGCATTTTTTTTTTGTCACACGAGGCCGTCCTTTGCTTGTGGATGTTCTGCCTACACACACCCACCCCGCAGACCAAAAAAAAAAAAAAAAAAAATTGTAACGAGATCTTGATCCTGTTCGTCTTTGACAGCGCTGTGAAAGCTAAATACTGGCTGGACCAACCTGTTTTGTGGTGTCTGTCACTTGACTTCGCACTAGCGGATGCGTAAGACACAAACATAAAAGAAGCGATGGCAGCAGCTCAATGGAACAGAAAAAAAAAGTAGCATCAACACTACTGTCAGTTCAAACAGTACCTTTAGACCGCAGGCGATAAGGTGGCCGGGGAGCACAGCCAAAATGGCTTGGGACTTCGGAGCTGAACCCATATTCCTAAAAACGAGAATGCTGGGGTTCTTGTTAGCGGATTGTGCCTACGGGAACTTACTCCGACATTTTAGGAAAAGGGAACAAAGCCCGAGTTTTCTGAGAATAAACAGTGGCTGACTTGGACACAGGAGGGTGCTTCCACAGGAGTTAAGGCAGTGCAAGGCGGCTGTAAACGCGTGAAATATATTGAAGCCTGCTGTTCACTGAAAATTGTGTTTTTTTAATATTTTCTAACCGGAAAATCTGCTTAGCTGAAAGATTGTGGATGTATATTTCGTGTGAAGTTTCAGTTTTGATTAGTTTGATGACCAAGAAAAAAAATCAAGTGGGTCAAGGCCGGACAACAACCTTCAACAAGCAGTACTCTGAAACCTGCCCAAACGCAAATACCGCTTGTACGTCTTACAGCCAGTTGGTTTTAGTAGCTAAACCAGCCCCTATTTAGGCAATATTTAGCAACCGTAGAAAACCCACATCTTCAAGAGAGTCGTGTTCTAAAGTTTGCCGTTGCCATATTTCGAATGGTGTGCGTGCCTCCGCCAACCATCTGCATTCGTCGCATGTTCATGGGATTCAGTTCTGTTCCGGGTGGACAGCGCTAGATTCGTTTATATCGAACACCTGTTCCAGTCCTTTAGAGCTTTAAAAAAATCTATCGTCGTAAAATTATTATCCTGAAATAATCGGTAGATATAGTACTGAATCTTTTATTTTTGATGGGGCCCGAAATTGCCCCCACAAACACGCAGTATATATTGCAGGTATTTTTCGTGTTTCTTTAAAGTAACGCAAAAGTAGTTGAGTAAAGTAACGATGTAATTAATCAGTTACTTTTTACAAGGAGTAATTTGTAACGGTAGTCCACTACTTTTTAGGCCAAGTAATTGTAATTGTAATTAATTACTTTTTTGGAGTAACGGGCACAAATCTGGTCCTTGGTCA